CCTCCACTCCACTCCTGGAGCATGGATAAAAATGCCCCGGTTTGCCTACTGCAAGCAGTTAACTTCAGTACATCATGTGCTGTGGGTATGCCATGAGTCTGCAATGCTTATACCAGTGTAAAATGTACTGGCATAATTTTACCCCAACTTTTCCTGAGATAATTCCAAATCAGATTCAGGTAAATTGTGCAACAGTTTATGTCATCCCTCTGCTCCTTGCAGAGATGTAAAGTGATGCCTGACTGCCCTGGGAGGCAGCATTGCATATGGCAGCATCACTGGCTGTGCTTTATGCCATCCAGGCTGCTGGTCTGACAGTACAGCTACTTCTGTTTTCTTCACCACCCTGCTTCATTATGCTACTAGTTCCTTGGTTACATTGATTTAATCAGCCTTCATGGTAGTATAAATGTCTGAGTATCTGAGCCCTTTTGAGGGCAAATTCAGAAGAGTCTACAGGTGACATGGAATATAACTGTCCTTTAGTGAATCTAAGTGACAGTCAGAGGCATACCTTACTGACAATAAAAAGGTCTTCCCGTTTCACAGCTCCTTCCCTGATTTTTTGCTGGATCCCATCCCCAATCTCACTCTCATTCTTGTACAAGTAAGCACAGTCGAAGTGGCGGTATCCAACGTCAATCGCAAACTTCACTGCCTCTGCCACCTTTCCTGGAGGAGCCTGAAGGCCAGAAACCAAGCATAATTAGAAGTTTTCTTCCCCATTTCCAAGTGGCTAAAAACTACCCAAGAAGGGACTGTGCTAAATCAATGACATATAGGTCCCCCCTACCTGTTACAATTATTGTGCAATTAACTAATTATACAATTAGCTTGAGACCAACTGCACATGCAAAGCAGCTATCATGCCATAAAAAGCTCCAACCAGTTATAAAGTTAGACCTCAAAAATGTGTACTAATTTTACAGCTGGTTGCTATTGAGCTTTAATTTACAAGTGTAGTAGGGTCTCCCTACAGTTGCGGGTCCCAGCTGCAAGGGCGGACCTTGCCTAGCCTGAAACTGAGAAGACTCTCAGCTCCAGCACCTGCTGACCCTGGGTCCCAGCAGAACAGGGACCCAGAGCCTGCAGCTGTGGATGCTGGGTCTCAGCTGGATCCTAAAAACCCTGGGGCTGGGGGATTATGGTAGCCACAATCCCTCAGCCCCAGGGGTGCATGGAGTGCCCCTGTGGCTGGCAGCCCCTCAACTGAGGGGGCTTCCAGGCAAGGTTAGCTTGCTTCTTCCTAGTGCAGGGGGAATCCAGGATTGGGTTTCCCTTGCACTAGCAATAAGAAGTGATGGATCTAATGCAATGTGCGAACCCACAATTGCACCTCCTGCCATGCACATATAGCATGGCAAGAGGCCCAACTGTGTGAACTGTGCATTACAGCCCATTGCTCCTTAACCTGCTTGTGTAGAGGGGGCCGTAGATTACAGGCAGTCCTTGGACTCATGACACAATTGGTTCCTGAAAACCATGTCTTAAGTCAAAATGTTGTAACTCAGAACCAATTTTCTCATAAGAAACAATGTTATAAATGGGGGATTCATTCCTGAACCAAGGCCTGATACCCTATTTTCACCAAAAATACCCCAGAATTTTGTACTTGATCAATTATAGATGAGTAATATAGCTACATTAATATGTTTATATTGTAAATAGCAATCATATTGATTTGGAAGGACTTCTTTAAGGTGACTTTGCTGGACTTTTTGAAGGGCTCTTGGTTGGAGTCTTGTCAGGAGTCTTGTCTGCTTTCTTAAAGGAAGTGTCCAAGGAAGTTTGGAGAAATGTTCTCCAGGGAGATGAACAATGCCGCAAACTTGTTTGCTGGCATGGCATTGCATTGGATCAAGCATTTTAAGTCAAGGTTGGCCTTGTAAAGTTGAAACAGTGTCAATTTATAAGGTTGTAAGTTCAAAATGTAACTCAAAACGTTGCAAGTCGAGGACTGCCTGTATTTCAAATGATTCCCCCATTTTCACAGGGGTTCTGCACCTGGGAGTTTATCATAGTAGCTGCATTTATAGAGGCATAACTAACTGCCCAGGTAAGCCAGTACAATATTTTTTTATAGGAAGAAATCCAGAGATGATAAAGCACTAAGGAAGAAAGATTTGCTCTAGGTGCATTGGTAAATGTATTATTTGAAAAAACAGTATTGGATTCAAGGATCTGTAGCTACTATGGTTTGAATTATACATAAATCACTAAACAACTACCACCTTGTGCTTACATGTGGTTGTTGTCCAATTTCTCCTCCCTCTCCTGTGGTATGTTACAAGGTATACAGAAGGTTCTAGTCTATCATGGGCTGCTTTCAGGTTGTGGTGTTCAAAAGAGGCAAGACTATTCTTGCAGATGCTCTTCAGCAAATGTTGATTACGTGATTGCCTGATATCACAATGCTTTGGGGATGTTCCAATCTCATATTCCTACTTTCACCTGCTAGGATACTTTTACACACAGAGTTGCACAACTGAGAGAAACAACTTGCCTCAGATCAGCCACCTCCTCCGCATCAACTGGGATAATAATAGACTGGAGAGGCTGCACATTTGAATGTATGCCAGATAGTAACATCTAATGCTAGCTCCAACTGCAAGAATGACTACTGCATCCCCCACAGCCCAGGTATGCATTCCTGGACACTTAGGAAATACTGATGACTATCTTCCATTTACAAATCTGGCTTTTTCTGTCCAGAAGCAAGGGTAATTAAGTTCTTCTCCCCTTCACTCCTAAGTCAGATATTTTCCTTAACTCCATTAGAATTAACTTGTGTGGCTAAATCCTCTGGCTGGATTTGCAAGTTTAAACCCAAGAGTCCAGCTTAGAAACACATGGACATACTTGTTCCCTGACTGAGTAGTAACTTTGGCCTAGTGTAGACTAGAAACTATTTCCAGGATAGCTGCCCTGGCAAACCCTTGTTTGTAAGCATAGTTATGAGGGCAAGGAAGGATTTTTGCTGACAAGAGCATTCTAAATGATGGCTTTTGCCAGTGCAGAAATATCTGATACGTGTGTCTTTCCAATGATATAACTATTCCAGAAAATGGGTTGTCTACACCCAAGGCTCCTCCTCTTCTATTCTTTCCTGCCCTCTTCCACACTATTGAACTCCCAGATTTACAATGTCAGTTCCTAGGACACTGTGTATTGGCACAGTGCTGCCTTGGCAGTGTGGGTCTAGCTCTGGGTAGATCAGTACGTTCAGTTATTAATTTGACTAACCAGTGATATACTGTGTGTCTCTGGCGCCTGGGGGCCAATGCTTGCATTTGCGCCTCCTCCCCCTGTCCTTCTTGTAGCAATACATAAAGTCACATCACACGATAAGAACTCTGAAGGGCTTACTACCTGCAAAATGCCGGGGGCCTGTTGCAAAACAGAAAACTAACAGCTTCTCAAAGAATGCCAGAAAAATGGTTGATGATCATAGGAGAGTACGGCTGGAAGCAACCTCTAATCCAACCTCCTCCAAAAAACACAAGCATCTTTTTCTTGTCTAAAAAAAGGGTTGGAGTTATTTAAAACAGCTGGGAGTGTAATTATACCAGGCATTATATAGCAAATTAGAGAGAGAGAGAGAACAAACATTGTATCATTTCTCAGGTGGACACAGCTGGCAACCATAGGCACTGGATGAAAAAACAAGGGAATAAGAAAACACAAAGATGGAAATAGGTGAACGAGAGAACACGTGCCATGGATATAGTCTGCAGAGAAGAACTTTTCCCCCTCCACAAGCACACCAGTATGAAGCCCTTTATGCCCGAGGTATTAGGGCAGTGGTCGCCAACCAGTGCATCTCGATCCACCGGTTGATCCCCGAGGCTCTCGCAGTCGACCCGAGGCTGGGGTGGGAGGCTGAGCGCCCGCGTGCGCACAGTCAGTATGTGGGGCGGGGACTACACCAACGCCCCTGAGGCAAGGGACAGTGCCGTAGAGGCAGGAGCAGGTGTAGGTTGAGTAAGGCCCCAGCCCCCAGGCGAGCAGCAGCTGGCTGCCCTTCTGCGCCTGGGGATGAAGGACAGAGCCAGGGAAGCCCTCCTGCCACTTCTCTGGGCTGGACGGCAGCCGGGAGTCGAGGCGACCGGGCCGACGCGCCGCAGAGCCGCTCCCGGGGTGGCCCCACGCAGCGCGTCGCGGCCAGGCTTGCACGCGGGCTCGGCCTCGTCCTCGTCCCGCCCATGCCGGAGCCCAGCCGGGCTTCGCGGCGCGGGCCGAGGAGCTGCCCGGGCCGGCATTACCTGCCAGGTGCCCAGCCCCACGACGGGCATCTTCACGTCGCCCCTCAGCTGCAGGAAGGCAGCCATGGCTCCCGCCCGCCGGGCCTCTGTGGCCTCCCCACCACGCCCTCCCTCCCTTTAATCGCTCTGGCCCCGCCTCAGCTGCTGGGCGGCGGCGACTGGGAGCGAGTGTCAGCCGCCTGGCACTGCCTCTACCCCGCCCCCCCGAGCTGCGGAGGCCGAAGCGAGCAGGAGCCGCACAGCCCGGCAGGCAGCTGCCCCCGCCTGCCCCGCTCCGAGCAGCCAGCGCCTCTTGCCTCGGCCTCGGCCATACGCCTTCCCTCGCGGCACCCCCAGGCCCCCGGGACTGGATTTGTCTGTAGCTCTGGGCCAGCGATAGGGAGTATGCCCTTCCCCTAGAGCGGCGTTTCTCAACCCGCGGGTCACGAGCATATAGGGAAGGGTCACAGACAAACTTTATAAATGGATTCCCCGTTAGGAGAGAAAAGCATGGGAAACCGCGGCTTTCCCCCGGGAAGCTGCGGGAAGCTGGCAGAGCTCCAGCCTGCCAGGGGCTGCTTGGGGTCCCCCCTGCCCCACGCACTGGGGGCTGGCGGGCAGCGGGTCAGAAGTGAGGGGCACCGAGTTAGGACCGGCCACCGATGTTTCCGTATGGGTCTTAGTACAAAAAAGGCTGAGAACGCCTGCCCTAAAATACCTCTTTCCCTTTCCCCACATACCCCTCTGGGATGTATTACAAGAAAACTCTGATGGTCTGGCAGCTCCCAGTGGCAAAGCCTTGGGCCCTCGGCAGGTCTGAAAATCAGGTCCCTGGTGTCTGAACTTTTGCTGCCGCCAGAAATGAAGATATCGCTCTCCCCCTCGCACCAAATTGGGGGGCAGGCTTTTGCCTATGAGGGTCTCAGCCTCTCTGTGGGTGTGTTTCCTTGTCAATAAAACAAGGACAATCCTTCCCTACTTCTCTGGGTTGCTGTGCTGCTCAGTTAAATAATGTTGAGATCCTAGGATGGGAACAGTAACAGATGTACACAAAATGTTACTGCCCTCCTGCCTAGTCAAACTACACCACAGGCATTTCCTATGCTGCCTTTGGGTAACACAATACATGTACTCTGCACACTAAGCCAATAAGCAAACCTAGGACTGGGAGCTTACTAGTGCATACCCAGAGCTCCTCTGAAGTGGCTGCATCACATCCGTTCTGGAATTAGCACTACAAAAAATATTGCTTTGTGTTGTGCGCAGTCCTCTGTCTAGCACATAGCAAAGTTGCCACAGAGGGACACACTGCAGCCAGGGTGGTGATGGAGGGCAGCTTCTTCGCTCCTCGGCCCTCCAGGGGACCTTGTCAACAGATGGGACAGGGTTACTGAGGGGCTTATTTCATCTGTTGTTGCTGCTGTGGCAATAGCTGGTGGTGTTGCCTGATCAGGTAGTCTCTGCCTGATCCACCTCTGCCCACAGGGCTACCTGCAAGCCAGCCAGGGGCAAGAGATTATCAGGCAGCAGAGACTGACTGATCAGCCCTTCATGCTGCTGCAGCCTTTTCTCCATTTTTGCCCAGTGACAACAGTGCTAGGGCTGACTCTGTGTTACTTGGTGTGGCAAGGACGGATAAGTCCTTGCCAGTGATGTCACCCCAACTTCTGACACCATTGCTACAGCCCCAGCTGCTGGTGGTAAAGCACCAGCACAATTCACATTTCAATTCCCTGGCACTTTAAAATTGTTCCTTGTGCTGTTGTCAGTCCTTTAGCAGCTGTGTGGCAGCAGGGCGTACACGGGGTGGTTTCAAGGCTGACTGAGATAAGGATGTGGAGTTTTCCCAAAGACATGATGAGTCCTGAACATGTGTCAGGTAAATACCCTCTTCAGTCACTTAATCAATCAATATTTTTGCAAGCTGGGTGCAAGAACTTAAATGACATCAGCAAAAGAATTTGAGAGTCAGGTAAATGTGTCTGAAACATGTGAGAGGAAAGGGTTTCTTAGGGTGATATCTTTTATTGAACCAACTGCATAGCTGGGGTACAGTTAGACAAGGTTTCAAATACAAGAGATTTCTTCCTCAGGTCATATTGCATTCAAAGGCTTGTCTAACCCTATTTTGGGTCTCCATCTATTATAGCCCATGGTATGGGGAAACTCAGAAGTAGGTGTACCTATTGCCTTAAAAAAGCCATCCAGTTTATGCTATCCCAGAACCAAGTAATGGGGAAGTAGACCCTGTTACAGAATGCCTAAGGTTAGGGCCCCTGAGATAAATCCTGCTCCACTGAAGTCAATGGGAATTTTGCCACTGATTTAATGGCTCAAAGTATTCAACCCTAACCCTTATTTAGACATCTCCCTATCTCTGTTTTAATGTCGCGCCCACCAGCATCATGTCTAAGCAGCTTTTAGGAAGCTCAGTGGAGTCAGTTATATGAGTGTCTATGTATGAATTTAGATGCCAGGTATCAGGCACCTGAGATTCAAACCTCTGGCTCAGCTTGGCATTTGGCTTGGCTCTATATCTGAGTGCCTTCAAACTCTGGGGGCTTTCAGCACATCACTTAGCAGTCACTTTACACCATTTTTCAAAACAGATTTTCAAGTCGCCCTTAAAACTGCATGTATTATTACTTCATTCTCTGCATTTTGAACTGTTCTAGTCATAATTTAACATTATAGACTGAATTCCATGGACTTTCCCATATCTTTCTATTCAGCATGGACTGGCACAATTACAGAGAAATCATTTATTTAAATGATTTAATCTATTTTTTTAATACTCCTAGTTCAACTAAGGACAAGAGAAGAGGTGGACAAAGATACTGTACAGCCAACTGCTTTGTCTGTGGGAGGAACAAAGAGGGCTAGATAAAAAGGGCTAGGAAAACTGTCCCTTTCCTTTTTAAAGGATCTGTGCTGATCTTAAAACTATTATATGTGAATGGGGAGATGGGCATTAGCAGGTTACTGCCACATATGTAGACTCCAAACTAATTTAACTGCAGACATGAAAGGGAGTCCAAGAGATCTCCACATCATTTGGGACATATGTAGCCATTGTAGATTATAAGGAACTCATGGGAAAGAGCTGCCTTTGCTTCCCCATTTCTGTTTGTCTCTGACCTTGCCAAGGTCTTCTAGGCAGGGGAAGAAAATCAGAGTGCCACTTGGGGAGGGTGCAGGGCTCTTTTGTTGCACTCCTACCAAAAATGTTGGCCCCCACTGTTCTGGGGCTTCAAGCTTTGACAGCTTTATTCCTCTAAAGACATCAATTTGCCCCATGTTTCTTCACAGGGTTGTTGTTGTTGTTCATTTTCCAGTAAGCACATGGATCTCCAGAAAGTAGACCACTAATAATAACATTAGTTATGACTCCAACTTCCCACTCCAGCGATTTCACATCTCTCTAAGCCAAGTGTCTGCCTGCATTGAGCAGAGTAGTGGCCATCTCTGTTTTCAGCCTTCTCTTACTGGCCCTATTCCAAATCCTCCCTTTCTGTTTCCTCACATCTAACTCCTGGTTTTAGAGTTCTCTAACTTCTAAACTGCTTGTGCACTTGTAGCCATGCAGATTCTTGGAGAATGTCAAAGCAAGTGGTGGACAAGAACTGGGTCATTAGCTCTGAGGTAAGGTCAAGGAACTCTACTCTATGGGTTTCTGCTGGCCAAAAAATGTGTCAGACATGGGATTTGCATCTTGGAGAATTCTTAAGAGACCAGGAGCTATGCATTGTAGTCAGTTACCCAGACCCAGGAGTTTTAGAAACACGTGTCTTCTGCATCAAGTGCACAGAAATTGATTCCTTGAGGACCTGCTCCATGATTTTTCCAGGGACGGAGGTGGGGTGGACAAGTCTGTAGATCCTTTGATCCTCTTTCTTAAAGATTGGCACTAGATTTGCCCTTTTCTGGGACTTCTCCTGGCCTCCACAAGTTTTAAAAAATAATGGCTAGTGACTCTGCAGTTACATTGGCCAACTTTCTCAGCACACTCAGGTGCATTGTATTTGGCCCCATGGACTTGTACATGTCCAGCTTTTCTAAACAGTCCCTGATGTGTTCTTTCACCATTGCTGGCTTCTCACCTCCTCCCCAAACTATGCTGCCAGGTGCAGTAGTCTGAGAGTTGATCTTGCCTGTGAAGAAGTGAAAGAGGCATTGAGCATTTGGCACTGAGCACTGAATCGGGCCAAATCTCCTCCCAAATCAAACCAGCACCAGAAGCTTCGCACAGCCCTAGTAGTCAGAGGGCCAGATGAATTTCAGCAATACCTCTGTGACATCTTGGATCCAGGCTCTGGGAAAGCAGTTGAATCTTAAGTATCATAGGGTTGTTTTAAAATCCTCCTCCTCCCTCCCCATCCCCTGCCTCCACTGCTACAGCAGGGAAAGCAGTGGAAACTCAGTCCTCATCAGGGCATGCACAGCTCCATGCTTAGGAGGGAACACAACCCAGGCTAGAGCTGAGCTGAACCTGACAGTAAGGTGGAGGAGGGCGCGGTCATGGCAGTGGTGGGCAGGTGGCTGCTGTGACTGACCCCAAATTGGACTCAGGGTCAGAGTCACAGCTGCAGCTACTCCCCAACTTTGTATGCAAACCTAAGCTGAGGGGCTTTTTTCCCTCCATGCTGATTGGAAGGAAGGGACCTCATCTTAGATTCAAGTGAGCGTGATATTTACTCACACCACTCATACCTTTTCCCCCCAAAATTAACTATGCAAGGTTGGGCTGTGTGTTTTAAGTGAGGAAGTTAATTTCTGAGACAGAATGGAGGCATGGGATGCTGGAATGGCTGACTGTAATGGAGGGGCCTTCTTGGGGCCTGTCTACCAATGGCCCTGCCTACCTGTTCTGGGCCAACTGCACGCCTTCTCTCCTGCCATACCTTGTTGTTATCTAATTAATGATCTTAGATAGGCGGGAGGCTGCCCATTTCTTGTCCTGATGCCAGGGGGTGATATCTGTGGCTCTGTTCCTCCCCTACACTGCAGCCCAAGCCTTGCATCCATTAGTTGTTAACATCACCAGCCCCACTCTGGGAACCAGAATCCTCCATTCTGGTCCCCACCTGGATCCCTCCATTCAGGCGGCCTACTCTGCCTTCGTTCTAGGCTACCTAGCTCTCTGAGCTGTTCCCCCTTACGGGTGTGGTC